TAAAGGAGAACTTGTCCTACCAGGTACCAAGTAACTGGAAAGCTAGAGCGGTGAATAAAATGTAATACTGGTGTAGAAATAGACAAAGATCAATGGAACAGAATAGAGGACTCAGAACAGAATTGTAAATATGTACGGGTACTTGACATGTTGGAGAAATGGAATGCCAGATCCAAGCAAACTTTTCAATAAAAGGTGCCAAAACAACTGACTATCCATAGGAGGCAGGAGGGAAAGAAAAAAAGAACGAGACCCTTACCTCACACTATGTACAAACATCTATTGCTAAAGATTAAGGTCATAAGAAAGGAAACACTATGAAACTTTGGTACAACAACGCAGGAGAATATCTCCCCCACCACCACCATCCCTCCCCCACCCAGGCCACACTGCCTAGAAGAATATCTTTTTGACCAAAAGTAGGGTAGGATTTCTTTAAAAGATTTTTTAAAACGTATAAATCATAAAGGATTATAATGATATATTCAGCTTTGTTAACATTAATGACTCTGTTCATCAAAAACACCCGAGAATGGAAAAGAGAAAGACAAGCCACAAACCAGAAGGTATTTAAGCCACAATATATTTGTAATCAGAACATATAGGAACGCCTACAAATAAGGGGAAGACAACGATAAGAGAAAAATAAGCAACAGAAATTTTACAAAGAGGATGCACAAATTATTAATAAATACATACAAAGATGCTCCACCTCAATGTCATCAGGCAAATGAATATTAAAACCACCGTGATTAAAGTCTTAACCATCACCAGATAGGAAAAATCCTTCAGAGTGGCTGAGACCACTGGTCGAGCATACACTCTTATAACCACTTCAGACAACTGGGTACTGCTAGCTCACTTGGGTGTCCTTAGAAATCTGTTAGATATATACCTTACAGAAACTTTTCCACACTGGCCCCAGGAAATACGTTTGTAAAAGCACCACGTAATAGCATAAATCTGGCAAGAGTACAAATGACGATCAACTGAAGAACACCTCCGTAAAGCATGTATAATCATACCATGGAATTCAAAGCAACGAAGACCAAGTAGAGAGCTACTCACATCAACAAGGATGCATCTAATACACATATTATATGCAAAAGTCAAGTCCCACAAGATACATATTAGGATCCCATTTATAAAAAATTCAAAACCGTGCATTGCATTCATTAGAGATATATCAACAGTAGAAAACTACAGAGAAAAACAAGAATATTAGTAACAATACTCAGAGCAGTGGTTACACAGGTATTTGGCAAGAAGAGTGAAAGATTCAGTGGGGGTTTTGAGGATACAAAAATGTTCTATTCCTTAAGTTGGTAGTGTTCGTTGAATTTTCATTCTTCAAACTTATTATTTTTACAGGTATGATACATATCTTAATAAAGAAGAAATTATGTAACTACTAGAGGCCTGGTGCACAAATTCGTGCACGGCTTGGGGGGAGGGTCAAGGGTGGTTTGCAGGCTGGCCCCACCCCTGATGGGGTGAGGGAGGGGCCTCGGGCAATTGGCCAGCCGCCCCACATCCTGGTCAAACTCCCCGTTAAGCTGTAACCAGTTTGGCTCAGTGGGTAGAGCGTCAGCCTGCGGACTGAAGGGTTCCGGGTTCGATTCCGGTCAAGGGCATGTACCTTGGTTGCGGGCACATCCCCAGTGGGGGGTGTGCAGGAGGCAGCTGATGGATGTTTCTCTCTCTCATCGATGTTTCTAACTCTCTATCCTCCCTTCCTCTCTGTAAAATATCAACAAAATGTATTTTAAAAAATAAAAAGAGAGGCTCTTTTTAAAAAAAG